CATATGCCATACAGTTCTTGTTTGCTTTTTTTTGTGCTGTATTCTCTTCTCCTCTCGACGGATTTGGACAACAGATTGTTCGTTCGCATCTGGGAGACGGTGACTCACTCTCTATTTGCATTTCGAGGGTGTTACCGCAGAAGCCCACGTCTGCATTGCCTTATACAAAAAAAAAAGAAGTAAATTCAACATCTCTTTTCGAGGGTTGCGAATTGTTGCCGGATTTCACGCGAGGTCAATTAAACGGTGATTTTTATTGCGCGCATCAACAACAGCGATGAGATGAGATGAGAGAAAGAAAGAGAGTTGGAGTGAGTCTGGTCCATTGCGTGACCTCTTTTCTTCGGTTGGCGCGCGCCAAAGAGACGAAGGTGATGATGATGAGGATGCGCGGTTCTTCTTGCAGGTGGATCGGATTGTGTGCGTCTTCTAGGATGCTGTCGAGAGGTCATCGTCGTTCGTGAAGGAGTGAATGCGAACAACGAGGAATCGTTTATATCGTGGTCGTCCGAATTTACCGGTATTTTTTTTATTATATTCGCGCATATCTATCTGTCAATGGCCTCGTTAATTATTCACGGACGTATCATTAGCTAATACATAATAATAATACATAATAGTGTGCGAGTTGCTATTTTCGGAACTGCAATTCCGAATCTATCGAGTTGCGCTCGTCGCAATGTGCCGTTTTCAATGAGGCTCGAAAATGTTTTCGGCACTATTTTTATATATGCTCACGCTCAGCGGGGGAACATATTTCCATCCACCAACAAAACTAACACTCAAGAAACATTTAAAAAAATTTCAATAATTTACCTTGTTCTCTCTCAGTTATTAATTTTATACAATTAGTAATTTTCAAGTCAAAATAACATTTATCAAACGTTCAATATTACAAATTTATATTTTTTTCTCATCATAACTGCATTAAAGCAATACTAAAACTAAGTTAAAAACCAAGAATTTTTTGTGGACAAATATTTCATAAACTTTCAATGTTACAAATTTATATTTTTTTTAATCACAACTAGATTAAAGCAAGTCTAAATCTAAGTTATAAACCAACAATTTTGTGGGCAAATATGAACTAATATTTTATAAATGTTCAATATTACAAATGTATATGTTTTTTTTTTCTATAAACAATTCGATTGTATCTACAAAATTTAATTTAAAAAAGGACAATTTCATTGACGCTTTCTAATGCGTTAGCGGCAGCAATTTTATGGACAAATATGAACTTAAGTCTTAAGAAATCCTTGCAAATGCCGTAGCGGAAAGCAAATATTGCCTTTTACAGATGCAACTAGACTATATCAAGATTAAAACTAAAACAAAGAATATTTATTTATTCAAGAAAACGTAAATTTATTTGTTCATACATTTAGAAAACTACATAGTCTGAATATAATATAGATTGGATATCTATAAAATGTGAAGATAAGTTTAGTCTTCACTTTTTAGTCTATTTCTCTATAATTTGTAGTTTACAACTATAAGTTTAAGTTAAGTCAAAATCTTATTTCATTCTTTTGCTATTTATCTTATATATAATAAATTGATGTCTTCACATTTTATTATCTATATCGAAAAGTATTGATGGTAGATTATATATTGAAATTGCTATTAAAACTTAAAACTATATGTTATAAAATGAATTCAAAATGTTATGTTTACGTCTATTGTAGTTTATGTAATAATCTTCTAAAATTTGGAAAAATAATTGATATCTCGTAAACTATCCGTGGTAAATGAAAATATGTTATTTAAAGTTCAAAGTTAAAAGTTCTTGTAATACGTTGCTAATCTTTAAATGATTTTTTTAAAGGCACGAAGAAGCGGTGTGTTCGCATCGAGTAACCAATTAGAAAGGCGGAAAAGTGGTATTTAATTATTACTTTTTTTTTCTTCTGTAAGTAAATTCGTAAGATATGGAAAGCTCATTAAGTTAAAGCGTGTTTTTTTTTGTAATTTAACGGTTTTATTTATAAAGTTGATGGTCAATCTTTTGCGGAAATCCGAACGCGTATCGCATGTTTGGTTTTCTTCATATAAGAATAATCGAGCATGTGCATTAATTGCAATAATGTTGGCGTGCGTGGATTGCGAACGGGTCGTGTTTCTAACGAAGAAAATTTTGCAGTTGCGTCGGCGATGATTTGCATAATTAAAGCACGTATTAATTAACGAAAGTGGTCTTTCTCATTCTTTCTCTTTCTGCTTTTCACGTATTGAATCTATCTTCGGCCGTAAAACCGGTGATTGAGTTTATGGTGATAACCATAACAGTGGTCGAAGATAATGTGTAGTTCCTTGTCCTCAAGAAGACCGTTCGTTTCTTCCATCAGAAAGAAAGCCGTATAAAAATGATTCACCTGTCCCTTCGCTGGTGTTGTTGGTGCTGCGGCAGCAACCCAACCAACCGTTCGACCTTCCTCCCCCCGCACCCCCGCGAACAACCACCGCACGCTCCCCTCCTTCGCCGCACCGACATCCGGTTCGGTTCCCCCGGCGACAGGAACTACAGTCCTGTGATCCTCGGCCATGGCACACTCAGTTGCAGTAGAATTAAGGCTTACAATAAACCGTCATCATCGCTCTCTCTCTCTCTTTCTGTCCTCTCATTATAATAATAACCCTCCTAGTTGATGGTCTTTAAAAAACCCGAAGACACAATGCGATCTTCAATTTACCAACGAAGGTCACTGCTCACTCAACGACAACAACATCAACAAACAAACGCAACAAATGTATGTGTGCATCATGCATCGCTTATTCTCATGAGGTGGATGGAAACCGTCGTTGGCTTCAGAGCAACTCGATTTTGAAGTCGCGGACGGAAAAATGTACGCAGATTAGAGGCCAGCGGCATTCTACAACTTGCTTATCTCTCTTACTTCCAGTCTTACTCATTCCTCCCTTCACGACACGAAGAAAACAAAACATTGCACGTCTTTTTTTATACACAATTTCGTAGAAATTGGATTAATTTGCTACTATCAAAGTAAGAAGAATTCTTCAACAATTTGACTTTCAAACCAAAATTCATAAATAAATCATGAGAAAGTAGATATTTGCTTGTAAATATTTAGTGATGAGATATATATCGACTGTTTCAATTATTCAATTTGTAATTCGATTTCGGGATTAACCAAGCTAATATTTAAACAATGAATGCTCGAAATGCGCTGACGGAAACTGATTAAAATTTGAAAATTCGCCCCGAGCGTGAAATCGATTCGCAACGAAATACAAATATCATGATCTGCGACCTTGCTTGGATCTGCTCGTTCCCAATGTGCACTTTGTTTGTTCGTTCCAATCTATTAAACAAACAGAAGATTACCAACGTCTAACCAAGAATTTATTGAACACATTAAAGCAGTGGTTTCCAAACTTAACGCCTCCCCATCCCCCTCCATATCATAAAAGGAACGCGTATTACAGCAATATCGATAAGAGCACAGGAATGTATCTATACTTGATGGATTCCCCAAACATTCAGCTAGCAAGTATCGATATATTACTGTGGTATTAGCCGTTTGGGTGTAATTCGTGATCAAATTTAAAAAATGCTCGAAAAACCAGTGTTTTTACATTTCATTGAT